TCAAAGCACTTCCTCTCTTCTTGCTAAGGCCTTAAGTCGCTTTACTTCGGAGAAAAAAACGCGCACTAAGCAAACAGGGCTGCAATACTTGTCCTTTTTGCGCGCGTTTGTACAGATTACAAAGGGGGCTTCGTAATTACCTGGAACTTCAAGTAGCTATTCGTTCTCGTAAGGTTCAATCGGAGACCTCGTGCCGAGGTTTGGATTACATCAAAATTAAACAATCACACATCACTAATATTCAAAAGACCAAACGGCAATTATCCAACACTTGAATTTCCCTTCACATCAACTCTAGAAGAAGCCTTTACGGATTCAAACAAGTAGAAGCTTTGATATCTACACCATCAAACTATCGAAAATGGTTAAGTTAATCTGTTTGTAGCCTTTGCACGACGCACATATTTCTCCAAAAATACTAATTATATTATCACAAGTGACTTTATGTTGATCGCCTTGCCATGTGCGGTTCATCCGCGACTCATATACGAGCGATTTTATACTTGGGTTAAGCAGGATAAGTAATCCATTGAAGCATGTTTTTTCTTGTAGCTTAAGATGTGACGGTAAGAGAAACAAATGAATTGACTCATTTTAATTAAACAATTCTTTCAACATTCACGCCAGGCAATTACTAAAATTTGCATTCGCAACATGACCATAAGCAACTTGTAGTAGGTCTAGAGAATTTCGTATTCATGGACGCTCACAACTGCAGTGACGTTCTCTGTCTCGATGATTTTCGGAGTATGAAAAGTGTGGAGGGTAAGGTGGGATGGGAGCAAATCAGAAATTCATCTACTTTTACTAAGTAAACAGATGGAAAGGCAGGTTTCATACTGAAAAAAAAGCGTTTCTTTTACTAATTTGCCTATTAAGGCTCCGTCCTCCAGTTTGGGTCATGTTAAAGAACCAAATCAGAGATGGGAAGATTTATTAGGTACTACATGCTTATGCCACAATCACCGCAAAAATTCGTAAAAATCACTCATCTATAGATTCTCAAATTCCCTGCACATACGTTCACAGCTGCAATGACGGCTTCTCTCTCGTCGGTGACGTTTGGAGTGAGTAGAGTGGGGATAGTGAGGTGGTACTGGAGCAAATCGAGGATCCATCCAAGCATACCAAGGAGGGAAAAATGGTGGTGGTGGAACGTTGCGACGTTCACGCTCGTGGAAAGATATAGATCTTGAACGATGGCGTCGACTATCGCGAGATGGTGAGCGAGATCTGGGCTCCTTGCCATCGTTTGGCTGTTTCTCTTTAGACTTCTCTTCTACCTTTTCTTCTTCCTCGTCTTCATCGCTGCTGAGGCTTGTGAGGATATCCTTATCCTCTCTAGGATGATAGAACATCTTCACACAGCTGTTGTTTTCTACAGCAGTAAAAAGATCATCAGCAGTTTTGACAGTAGAGCGATCGTTGT